CACCCCTCAAATGGTTGGTGGCAGGGAAGTTTCTGGGAGATGTACCATATGTAATAATGCTGCTCCTTCATTCCCTAGGCATTCATTTTGGACATCTCTTGGAAAAATTACATTAGTCTTGGTGGTCCTTGGTCTGATGCCCTGCAGCAGGGCTCCTTCAAGCAGGTGTCACTGGGAGACTGTCCTCAACAAACCATTTTAGAGATAGCAGAAGGAATAACCACTGGCCTTTAACCAGCTGCCCTCTGTCACTTTGTGAGGCCTCAGTTTACCACTTCAGATTTGGTCAAATTAGGCACTTGGCCTGCTTTCCCTCCACAAGGGCAAGAAAAATGCCCTGAAAGGTCCTGAAATAACGTGACCTTCCATCATTTAAACATGTTCTTTCCCATTAAGCAACGAAAGCAGCAGAGATGCTGTTCTCAAAAGCACCTCGAAACAATTATCTCCTTCCTCTGGAATAAACGATGGGAAGCAAGGGGTGAGCCGGAGATATGGCATTTGCAATTCTCCATTTTCCATCTGCAGGAGGAGGAAATGTTGGTTTGCATTGTGCTCCCGACACAACTGCTTGACCTCAGTGCAGTTTATGCTAATTACTTGCAAGAATATGCTTGTTTGCTCCGTGCCTGCCCAGCATATTTCTTGTATCTGAGCCTGATAGATGAAATATTGCTTACAGGACAGTGCAGGCTGGGTTGGCTGAACCAAGTGCTGGGTGGCCGAGTAATCCAAGCAAACAGGAACACTGTTTGTGATAAAAGAGGACCTGAGAAGTTTTCTCATTAATATTGCCCAGATATTTTTATACCAGCTCACTCCCATTCTGCTTACCGTGCTGTAATCTCTCAGGCTGACACAGAAAATAGAGAGGATCCATCTCTTTGCCCAAAGCAAGGACAACTCTCCTTTCTGTGCTCATCTAACTTGGCCTAAAAGGAAATCTTTCTCCTGTCTCACTAGCTTTGCAGTGTTAAGGTTTTCCTTTTAGTTTTGAGGGCATTTTTGTAGCTGTACACACCTTCTATCTCCAGGTATGCTCTGAGGGTATATATTTTAGTTAAACATGCTTGTCCATGAAGAAAACTGGATTCCTGCTGCTACTATTGCACCAGTGCATCTGTCTGGCCCCAGGATTTATCTGTGCACTCCCTGCCACTGGAATATTTTGTGGTGGGCTCTCTGTTCCAATGGGCTCCTTCAAGGAATGGAGCTGGGAATGCATTCTGGCTCACTCACACAAAGATGGTCACTTTGCCCAGCTGGGACACAGACCTGAAGGTGTCAAGTCATTGATCAACTTGACTCCATTCCCAACATGGTCTCCTCAAGCTGCTTCCTGTGTTGCAGTTGAAGACAGTACCCTAGGACTGCTTTTTGTTGCACTGTACCCAAAATTCAGTTGAGAAAAAGGGGCAGAAGCAGGAGCAAGAAGCTGAAGCTGCCATTTCTTTTGCATTGTTGGGAGAAAGGACAATCTTTTCTGTTCTCTGCCTGCAGAATCCATGTCTTAGCCCTGCCTGTAGATCCTACCATGCTCCCAGAAAAGCCATCCCTTCGTTGCACAGATATTCTGTAAGGAAAAAGCTCTTTATTATTCAGTGCACAGGCTTTCAGATAGGCCCCAGTTACAGCAGAGCATTCCTGAGTCTGCTAAATTTCTACATAAGCATGCAAGACATGCTGAGGAGGAATGGGTTTAGGTTTAAACGTGTATTTAACATTAAATGAAGGCTTAAGAGCTTTGCTGCCGGGAGCAGGGAAGGATGTTTTGTTTGCAGTGTGCCTTGTCCTGTGTGGGAAGATGTTGCTTGTCTGCTGCTGAGGCTCCAAAGAGCCTGTCTGCCATTTCTTGGGACTGATTTGAAGCAGCAGACACCAGGATCTGAGACCTTGTGGCTGGCTTTTCTTAACAGTGCAGATCTTTTCTCTCAGAAGTCTGGTACCTGAAATACCAGCAAGGAATCTCCAGCCTTAGCCCAAGGGACTGTTCTTTGTGCACTGCTGTGCACCCACCATTTCTAACAGAGACAAACATCAGTGCAGCTACCCCCTGCACCAGCCAGATGGAGTTGGTAATGGGGGAACTGGCTTTGTAATGGGATCAAATACCCTGTCTGCTTCCCCCCAGCCATGTGTCAAAGATAACCACAGCAGGGCACCTCTGAAAGCACAGATGGGTGGGACCTGGACAGGCAGAGGGGGAGATCAAGAGGAAATCAAACTGGTGTCAGTAAGCATGAAGAGTTTCTAAACCCTTGAGGGATTTACAGGCAACTAAGAAGGGAAATGGGTGGAAAACTGAAAGAAGATCTTGTCCTTCAATTCGAGCATGGGATCAAAGCCCAGCTGAAGTTGGAGCAGTTCTGTCATTGATTTCCATTTTTCTTTCCATCCTTCCTTCCCCTATCATGTATTCTGCCCATTCTCCTATTATCTGCTCTAGGGGTAACCAAACACCTCAGAGCAAAGCCCAGACTTCTTCAGAGAGGGTAATGCTGTAGCTTTGAAGGACAGATACTGAAGCACCTTGAGAAATCAGAAAGATGGGGCTTAATGTCTCTCATGATTTGCTGGAGGAAGCAATGCCCCCCTCATCCTCTGTGGGGAAGTTGAGAGCAGCCCCCAAAAGCTCACATGTAGATCTCCATGCCCTTTTCACAGCTCTCCTTGCTTGCTCAACCTTTCAAAGACTGGAATAACGAAATCCCATAACTGATGGAGATTGGCCACAGGAAATCTATCTAAATTATGTCCAAATTGCCCTTGGGAGCAGCATTGCAGCTGCCTGAGGAAGGAGAATATGTTCAAACAGAACTGTCCAGACCAGACTAAACTTCCTTCACATCTCTAGGGAGGTTCACAGACCCTCAGAAGAACCACCATGGCCCACTGACCTCGGGGAGGCTCTGCCTTGTCCTGCAGCTCCCGCTGGTGAAGGTTCCATGCCGGAGATCTGTGGGACATGATCGCCCTCTAAAGGGAAAAGCTGAGAAAACGTGATTAATTCCCACACGGGCGAATCTGCAGAGAATTAGAAGAGCATTGGCATGGGCAAGGCAATGACGGTCTCTCTTCATCCAGAGTCTTTGTTCCGACTCCAACATATCCTTGGAAACATTATCCGTGCGCTACAGCCATGAATAATTGCAGCCAATCAACTCCTCACTTAGCTCATGCCGTTCTCCTGAGCTTTTAATTGTTGAGTCCATTAGTTACTTGGTACCTGGCAGAGCTTATCCATTTATAGGCACACACAGACTGTGGGCTGAGCAGCTTTCACCCGAAAATCAAGACGGTGGCAAATCCCTCAGCGCATCCAAGTCTACGTCTTCTCTCCCGGGATCTGAACTCTGCACAAGGGGGGATTTTAGTTGTTTTGTTTTTAAAAACTTACGTCCCTTGGGGACTGAAATGGCTAATTCTAGTTGTGATGGGTCATATTTGCTTATTTGGGAAGCTAAAAGCAGCCAGGCAGATTGCCAGCCCCGTCTTCACAGAGCAAAGGCCGCTGCAACAAGGGCTGTGTTAATTATTGCTGTTCTGTATCATCATCTGCCTTCCTACCAGGCCAAACACTCGTGCCACAGGCTCCTGTGGGGCAGGAAGGCACGGAATCTCTTTTGTCCTCAAGCCAGAGCATAGGACTCACCAAAAGCTGCTTCCCCCAGGTCCTGCCCATCCGACCAGGGCAGCCTGTGAGGCTTTCGGCAGCTATCAGAGGGCACAGAGGGCTGGGGAACACCTCACAGTCAGCTGCTTAATTTGGAAGCAGCTTATTTTTAGCACCGCCTTGGTATCTGTTTACAGCCTTCTTGGACCACTTAAAAAAAAAAGTTCCTTTTGCAGCCCGTTGACTTTTTAAGAGAGATTTAAGAAACAACATGGGCCATTCTGGAGAGTAAAGGACTTGTGAGCTGGGTTAAATCTGTGCTCTGGAATAAATTAAAAAAAAAAAATCAGGTTCTAAAATAGGAGCAAGGCCAGGAGGATCCAGGCACTAAAAATAAACTTGAAGTCACGCTGTCTTTTCCTGGGAACTCGTTTGCCTTGCCTGGAGAAGGGGCTCCCAGAGCAGGCAGCAGCATGGAACCATCTCTGTGAGGGTGGGGAGGTCCTGCCACAGGTTGTTCAGAGAAGCTGTGGCTGCCCCATTCCTGGAAGTGTCCAAGGCCACGTCAGATGGAGATTGGAGCAACTTAGGCTAGTGGAAGGTGTCCCTGCCCGTGGCAGGGGCGATGGATCTTTGAGGTCCCTTCTAACCCAAACCACTCTCTGATTCTGTGATCTCCCTGCTGTCAGAGGGGATCCAGGAGCAGAGAGACAACCCCTCAGCTCTCAGACATTTCAGAGGTGACTCTGGGCTTGTCACCTATACTCAGATTTTGCTGCTTTCAGACTCCAGTTTGACTGCTTTCCATTCCCAATCACTGGAGCTTTTCTCCACAAGGGTGGATGTACCTCTGTGGCAAGAAAGTGATATTGGCAGTTCTTATTTTTCCTCCCCTTGGTTCTGTTCACACTGTGTTATTGTTCATATATAATGTAAATAGGATCATATATAGTTTCATATGGAAGTTATAATTTCATTTATAGTTTCATATGTAAGCCAGACAGGATCCTGTGGATTTCATGACAGGTTTTCACAGAGAAGGACAATCACAGAACATCCTGGAAGCGTCGCTTATTCAAAGCACGACACATACATTTACTAACTAATCTCTGACTAATCCCCGATCTCTGGCTAATTAGCCCCTTCCTCCACGAGCTAATGCTTGTTCAGCCTTTTGAAGCATTTAGCGCGCTAAGCACAATCACGCACATCTCCTTAGCGTGCCGGGGACGTGAAGAATTAATAAATACTTAATAAATGCCGTTAAGGAGCGGGATGGGGGGAGTCAATGGATCCCAGGGGTGGGACTACATTTCCCATCAGCCCTCGCGCCCCGAGAGGGGGAGCTGGACTACACCTCCCATGAGCCCCCGCGCGCGGCCTCGCCCTCCCCGCGGCGCACGGGAACAGCATGGCGGCACAGCTGTGTGCGGTGACGGGACCGGCCGCATCCGGCGCCACCGCAGGCACGGCGCGCCCCGAAGGGCGCGGGGACGGCGGGGAGGGTGTGCGGGGGACTACCCGTGCACCGCCGGGACCGCTTTAGGGCTGCTGCGGAGGCCTTGATGGCTGCGGGGCGTGCGTTAAATGGTGCCCCCCACCCCGGGCGTGTGTGGATGGAGGGAGCAAGGCCGGGCGCGCTGCGGGATCCTCAGCTCGCGGGGTTTGGCTCCGCTTGTACCGGCTCTTCCCCACAGCGCCTGTGGGAGGGTATTTTATAGCCAGCGGGTGTAGCTCAGCCTGAGCGCTGCCGCCGGGGGTGTCCGAGCTCCCCGGAGCGGACTGGCGCTCAGGGCAGCCACGCGTGCCCGCGGGTGTCGGTGCTGCCCCGGCTGAGGAGCCACGAGGGCAAGAACAGGCCCGAGGTTTTGAGGCCCCGCGGTTTGTCTGTTCTGGGAGCTGAGCTAGTGATGATAAAGGTTATCCCTGTCTGAAACTGATCTTTTCCTCTGTGGAAGTATCACTCTGAGGCTCGGCGTTAAAGACGCAAAGGTAAAGGAATGGTTTGCTACATGAACTAACTCTGTGCTGTTCCTGCCTTTCAGAGCCTGGCACGATGTCAGGAAAGGATTAAAACACTCATCTGGCTGGGGACCTGATTTATCTACTGGACTGACAGCACAGCTGCACAATGGTGAGAAACATCAGCATTTCTCTTGCCATAGTCTTAATTTTCTACTCCTTTTGCGGGACTACGGAAATAAGACTCATTTTTCAGTGTCAGATGATATCCTTGTGTCTCTGGGGCTCCTGGGAGGGGATATCAAAGCCCAGTGGCTTGATTAATGTAATTAAGCCAGTCGAGGCTGTAGCTTTGTTGCAGCTGCCACTCGAGTGTGCTGCCCTTTGCTGCCATGGAGCATAAGCTGAAAGGCAGCACGGAATGAATGGGAATTTTACTGGTGTTGGTGCCCAGCAGAGCACCTGCTTGTCATCGTGATCAAAGATGAGCCAGAGCAGAAGGGATTAGAGATAGGAGGGATTGGATGTCAGCCCATTATGGAGACACTTGACACAGCTCATCTCATAACTGTGTCTGTCACAGAAATAGACAGCAGTGAAAGAATAATTGCTCTGTTTGCCTTCCTGGAGGTGCCCTGGGAGAGTTTCAGGCTTGCATCAGGTTGCTGGGGGTGGGGACGTGCCCCAAAGGGTCATCCTAGAAAGGACACAATCTGAAGAATCCTTCCCCTGAGGGGATGTGTCTGTCTTAGGTCTGGTGAATGCATTTCTCAGGGTAAACTCACAGACAGATTACATGCTGGATGGATGGATTATTCTTGTGTGCAAGGAGGGGGTTGGATTAAGATGTTTGTGGAGGAGGATGTCAGCTTGAAACAGCTTAAAAGGGTCCAAACTACCAATGTCCGAGAGCTGGTGGTTTTCTTTTCCTAAGCAGGGATTTAAATAACATCCACCTCCCAGACTTTCTTGTCTGCAAGTGAGACAGCCTACTGGCAATCATGCTCCTCTGTGTCTGAGGGACAGGATTCTGCTGTGCTGAGTTTGTGAGGCAAAAATTGCTGTCTCTGAGTGGAGAATTTCTGTCTCTAATTCTCGCTCAGTGACCCAGGGCTGGGTTTTTTTTCGGAAGGGGTGGAAAGGAAATGAGTGGAGGACAGACTTTATTTAAAGTACTTTTGTTGACAGTTCTCACTGTAACTTGTATTTAGGAGGAAATGGTCCTGCAGAGTCCTGGGGCTGCTGTTGCCCAAACACAGCTTTGGCAAGAGGGCAGCTGCTAAGCTAGACTTAAGCTGGTAAGAGAATTTTTCAGTATTGTGTGTTGCTTGTTTTAAATTCATTAATTATATGCCAGATGTGTAGGCAGCATGACTCATGTGCTGATCAGAGTACCTAATCTTTGGAGGCTTTACCAGGAGCAGTACCAGGAAGAGCACTGGCCATCAGCACGGTGGCACCTGGGTGTCTGTGCTGTGCGTGGCTCTGTGGGACTTGAGGGGGTCGTGTAGCCAAGGGCAAGGAGAGAAGCTGAGCCTGTGATGTGCTGTTATCCCTGTCTGACACTGCTGTGAGGAAAAAACTCCACTGAGGCTCATGTGCTTCTTCCCTTGGTGGGGTCTCCTTGCAAAGACTCCACGGACACGAGTGGCACTGGTGGGGCACTGTGCCCTGTCCTCCCACCCTGTGACAAGTGGCACCAGCACAAGTGCTGTCCCAGACCCAGCTCCCCACAGCCCAGGCATGGCTCTGGAGCTGAGCATGAGCTGCTGTTGTCATAGCACAGTTTAGAGCTGCAAAGAGCTTTTAAGTTCCTTTTAAGCAAACAGTGGCAGGTTGAAGGGCAAATAATAGATGCATTTTTTATCTTTGCTTGATGTACAGTCATTGAATACACAGGCTGTAACAGCACTTTGTCTCCAGGCAGCTGACAGCTGCATTCTGCTAAATGGTTTTACGCTTTATTTAACAGAATTCCTTTGCTGCAGAAGGTCAATAACAATTTCCGACGGGCTGAGCCGGCAAAGTTGATGACAGGGATTGTCTTAAAAAATCAAGGTTGATGTGTGAAAGGGGAGGGAAGGAATGGCCCCACAAACCACCAGTCACACTGGGTGCTCTGGCAATACAGCTGTGTTCCAAGCAGGATCAGCCACTGGGAAAAGCACATGGGGCTTTTGGTTTCCAAGGAGTAAGGGGGGAAAAGGTGAAGAGGCAGCTTGATGATAAATGGGAAAAGTAAAAGCTACTCAGTGCTTTGAGATTAGAGGGGCAGGAATTGTTTCAGAGCAGACTTCTTTAAGGAAACATTTACAGCCTTGCTCTGTGGTGTCTTCCAGCTCTAGAAGCAACAGAATAAAGATTGTTTTGGACTGAGTGTCACAGATGGCCACTGATAAGTGACTTGTGTAACCACAGGCTCCTCCTCGATGCTCAGGGGTTGCTGCAACCACACCATAGGTAAGTTACCACTAAAGCCAAAGAGGATTTGGGTGCTGGTGCCTTTGGCTTGGGTGGGAGCAAGTTGTTCTCTCCTGAGATGTGTACTCTAGATTAAATAGTGCAAATCAGGAACTTCACAGCTGATGGTTGCTTTGTTTTGACACTGTCTTTTTTTTCCTGCTAGGATCTGACCTACAGGTGGCTGGATGAAAAAGTGATTCCCTGGTTTCTTCTGTTCCAGAATAAAATAAATTTAAATTATGGGAAACCTTGTGAGTGGAAGTTGGTTTTTGTTTAGTTATTTTTGTAAAGGTTGGACCTAATGGTCTTAGAGGTCTTTTCCAACCTTAGCGATTCTATGATTCTACTTGGACAGAAATGGTTTGTGCAGGTAGAAAGGATTTTAGATTGAAACATTTCCTGAAATTCAAGCAGTTGTGAGCTTACCCTTCCTAGCAAACATGATACCCAAAGACTTCAGTGTGTGCACATGCTGAAAGTTGAAGAAAAGCAATTCCTGGGGACAAAACTACTTATGGCTAAGCCAGGTCTGGTGACAGAAACGGTTCTTGTGGTCTGCTTGGGAGCTCAGAGATAAGGGGGTGAGAGGCAGTAGTAGAATCATTAGGTTCATCTGATGGTAAGTCCTTAAAACTCCAGTGTTAGGCTCCACCCTGGGCTGGGAAACCTCCCTTTTTTGAGAAGGAAGATCCATGGTGTGGTTCTGATGTGCACAAACAGCTCTGCCCCTGAGCTGGATGATTCCAGGCAGGATGCTGCCCTGGGACAGCACTTCCCTCTAAACCCTGCTCTTCCTGCCCTGTGTCTCAAGGTGCTGCTGATGTCACCTGAGGTTTGGCCAGAGCTGGTTTGAGGAGGTTTTGGAGCGTCTTGGGCAGGTGAGGTGAGGATCAGGCTCATTCTTGTCATGAAAGAGGTTTTTGCTGAGTGGTTGGGAACACAAAACAGGCCTAACAGGCTGCCGTGGTACCAGTGTGAGGTGGCTCTGATGGGAACAAAGGTTAATTTGAGACGTGGGAACACAAGGTGGGCCCCAAGCTAGAGATTACATCTGAAGCAGGCTTGGAGCCTAACCTTCTGTAGCTGAACCAGCTGGAAACAGCCTGCGTGGGAGCTTGAGGGGGTTTGGAGGTTCCCTGGCTCATGGCCAGGGTATCTTTTGCCATCTCTGTACAGCAACCTCATACAGCAAATAGCATTCCAAGTGGAAAAGGGCCATGCTCTGAGCTACCAGGGCCTCCCTGCCAGCCCAGATCTTCATGATTAAACCTGCCCCCATCCCCATCAGCCTCTGGGACTGTTCTCCAGTCAAGGGTTCACTCTACTACCTCCTACTACTCTGCTGCAGGAGGGAGGGGGGGGGGGTCTCACCCCCACCCACTTCATCAAAACAACAGAAACAGGCATTAAAGAAAACAACCATTCAACATTTATGTAATTACACAGTGGGGAAGTGTCTTGGGTTACACTGCTCTGTATCCACCCTCCAGCTGGAGGAGTGTCCCCCGTGGGTCTCCCTGAGCAGAGCTGGTTCAGGACCTTCACCTCCCTGGGGCTTTAGGGAGGAAATTAAAGAGTGATGATCACTTTTGACTCACCTGGCATGGGACTGCCTCTCAAAGGGCACCACAGCCCTGGGTCCCTGTGCAAGAAAGGCCCAACAAACTCAGTGCCACACGTGTGGCTTCAGTCCAGTGTCACCTCCGGGCTGCTCAGGGGCCGGACACATTCCTGGTGTCCCAGCTGAGCTGAGCTGCTGTGACCCTACTCTTAGCTGATGGCTTTTAAAACCCTTCCTTGTCTGAAAACACCAGACCTAGAGAAGGGGTCAGTGACGGGGCACGCTGTGTGTCTGTCACAGGAGAGGGCAGCCACACCCCTGTCTGTGCCGCTGATCACGGAGACAAACAGATCCTTCTGGAAGGTAGCACACACCAACAGAGCTGGCTGCAGCTGGGGCTTTCTGCAGTCTAGGAGAGGTGCTCTCCAAACACACCACCACCTCATCAGCTGGACGATCTGGTCTCTAGTCCACAGATTCATCCTGCCCATTGTGCCACCACGGTGATGAGCACTTGAGCTGGAGCACGATGGCAAGGTGTTTTCCAGCAACTCCAGCATCCTCTTCCAGCACCATCCTGCCTCTCCTGGGCTCCACAGGGGCCACTGCTGCCCTGCAGCCATGTTCATGGGGCTGGCAGGTCACAGCCACGTGCTGTGGTGCTTCTTGATGCCCCAAAGGCCATGTTCAATCACACTGAGCCTTGAAACATTTCAGGAGATCCCAGAGGAAAGGCAACATTTCTCTACCAGCTTCAGCTTCCCCCTTACCCTCACACCACTGCCAGCTGCAGTGTGGCAGGTCTGCTCCACGGGCTGGCCAACCAGCTGGGGAGAGCCCTCGGGAGAGAGAAGGTGGCCCTCGGGAAAGAGAAGAGCCACAGGAGTCCTTGGACTTGCCCCTGTGGGCAACCTCCCGGCCTCACCGCTGGTAGAGGGTGATGATCCCGGCCCGGTGCAGGCTCCTCCACAGTGCTGCCTCCAGCATCATGTCATGGTTGGCATAAAACACCAGAGGTTTCTTCTCCACCTCGTAATAATGGTCTGAGAACTGCTCGTAGTTGGCAGTGATGAACCCGTAGGCACTGACCTGTGGGAAGGGACAGACAAAGTATGGGGTCAGGGCTCTACTTCAGGTGGTCCATTCACCACTGCCCCCCCCCCCCTTCCAGGGGGCATGTAGGACAGCCACCAGGACAGGCTGGTCCCCACCAGGAGCCCCACAGCAGCCAAAAGGGGGGGGAAATCCCCTTGTCTCCAGCAGGAAGGTGATCCCGTGGCCTCTTACCTGGTCGCAGGTGTGGAGCGCGGTGAGGAGCATGAGGGCACCTGTGCTGGGCATGTAGAGGGAGCTGTACTGGGTGTTCAGGATCTCTGATCGCAGGAACCTGGCAGTGGACATGGCAGGGGTGGGGGGTCACAGCTGGCATGGCACCACAGCCCCCAGACCTGCACCCATCCAGCCCCCACCACGCACTGGGTGATGCCAGGCCCTGGTAAGGCAGGAGCACCGAGTGAAACACAGGACTGGGGTGGATTCTCTGGTGACTGCTACTAAGGCTGAGCTCATTTGCTGCAGGTTGGTAAAAGGCACCTCTCTGCTGTTTGGAATCACCCCAACCCAGATGCCTGCTTTCGTGAGAGGCAGGAAAAAACACTCCTGTTGGACCCTACCTCTGCTCCTGTTAGACTGGGACAAAATGTAATTTATTTTGGGGAATGGGAGCCAGGTGAGCACAGAGAGGTGTAGGAGGGGATGTGAGCTGTGCTGCAGTGAGCAGGAGCGGCAGGGCAGAGGTGCCTCAGCCTTGTCTGCAAACAGCAGGGCAGAGGTGGCTCCATTGTCTGGGGAGGACTGGGAACACACTTTGATGCTGAGCAGCCACTGGTCCATACTGGACAGAGCTCTGCTCCAGCCTGGAGCAGAGCTGAACAGCAGCCACCATCCTCATCATCCTCACCTTGCTGTCAGGTACTGCAAGAAATCAGGATGCAGCAACTTGAACTTCTCTGCAGATGCCTCCGGTCCAAAATACTTCTGTGGCCTGCAGCAGGGCAAGGAGAAGGGCAAAACTGTGTCACAGGAGTCCTGGAGCTACTTGGGGTTTGTCCCAGCAGGGACAGATATTGGGGTGAGGGCAGGCAAGTCATGCCTGCATCATTGGAGGTGCTGGGGGGCCTTTTGGGGGGCTACTCACTCATCCCCCTTGTCCGAGCCCTCGGGCACTGGGCTGCCCTGGATGGCCGATCTCAGCATGACGTAGTCCCGCACATCCGAGGGGATGAAGATGTACTTCAGGTCCTGCAGTGGGGGCACAGATGTGGCACTTGGAGGGGCTTAACAGGGCAGTGCCCATGCAGGCTGGCAAGGGCTGAGGGCTCCCGAGACAGGGAGAAGGTTTGGCGGGCAAGCCCAGCCTCAAGGGACAATTCGGGACCACGTGCCCAGCAAGCCCTCAGGGTGTCACCTTGGCCTGGGGGATCCGGGTGAAGCCGTACTCCTCGTAGGCGATGAGGGAGTTCTTCATGGTGTTCACCGTGAAGCCGTAGAAGGAGACCTTGGTGCCCACGTCCTCCTCGAAGCCTTTGATGACGGCGCCGTTGATCCTGCGGGAAAAGCGCAGGACACGTGTCCAGGGCTGGACCCTCCCCAGCACCCACAGCCCCAACCCTGCCCGGGACCCGCGCGCACCTGAAGACCAGGTCGTGTGCGTCGATGGCCTGGCCCTGCCGCGAGCCGTTGAGGATTCCACCGTTTCCCACCACGGCACAGCGGACACAGCCCCCGGGGAGGGCGGCCCTGTCGAAGAGGTGCCTGTTGGCGGAGGCGTTGAGGAGCCGGAGGGTGCTGCCCACCACTGGAATGGAGCAGGACGGGAGCGGTCAGTGAGGAAAAGGTGTGTCAGCCCACGTGAGCACAGAGCACATGCAGGAGCAGCACACTAAACTCACACCATCCCTGTGCAGGAGAGGGGCCTAAAGGTGGGATATGGGGACCCCCGGGCTCTCCCAGGCTTTGTGTCACCCTCTCTCAGCTCCCCCCGCCATGGTTCTAACCCTGCTCCAAACAGCAGCACTCAAGGCCGTGCAAGGCACAGGGCCACATCCAGACATCTCCAGCCCCAGCCTTGCTGATGCTGCTGCCTGTGCTGGCCATATCCCCTCCTCACAATATCTCTTTGCAATGGCCACCAGTTCACTCCCCCCTGCTGTCCCCAGCACTTCCCAGCCCAGGGACTGAAGCCGGTGGCTGACAGGGAGAGCAGAGCGTGGGTTTGGGGTGGGAAGGGAAACAATCTCCATCCACAACAATGGAGTGGGTTGTCCAAGCCCCAGTTAATAATCATGCACACACTGGAGCTTTTATTCAGGGAAAATGTCACAAGATGCAGCAAGAGGCCTTTGCAAAGCCATGCCCTCCACCCCGTGCCCCAGGAGGTGGAGTGGGGAGAGATCAAGGTCCCTGGCTCCTTCTGCCTTCTCTGCCTGTCTCATGTCACCAGTCCCTTCTGCTGGGTCCCCAAGCCCCTTGAGCTGCCTCACATCCCCAAATCACCCCATCAGCTGTGGCCCCCATCCCAGCTGGGTCTGTACCTGCAAGGGACAAGCCTTGCCAGCCGTAGGGGACGTGTCGTGTCCTCAGCCTGTTCCAGGTCGCTGGGGTGAAGTGCTGGTCCCACATCAGCA